CAAAGTACACCAATACCAAACTAGCCCAAACGGTTTGTTTTGATTGGATAACCATATTAATAAATGAGAGTTGTTTATTCCAAACCCATTCCTTCCTAAGAGAAATGATAAGAACACTAAATTCATCAAATTTTCTTTTGGTACCTTTGGGGGTTGAAACTATTAGTGCAAGAGAATCCAGTTAGGATTTTTTTCTTATTGGGCTAGGTTTTGGTATTGTAATCCCTGTAAGCTTAAATTTCTTGTAAGTCAAGTCACTGATTTGAATATAAATATATTTTGTGATATCAATACAATTACACAATTCTAATAATTCTACATATTTGGACTTTGACACACCTAAACAATCCCTAATTGAAGATAAAAATATCTTGTACATTGTAGGGATAACATAACGCTCTCTCATGTTGGAGCCTACCATTCTTAGGTATTAATTGTTCAGAGGATTAGTTTTACGTGGATTACCACAAGACTATATGAGCTCATTTAGAAGTGCTTCTAAAATGGCTGAAAGCGTTTTTGGTGAAAATGTTTTTGGAACCAATTCTTAGTAAAAATACAAGTAAATCCTAGAAAAACACTTAAAGTGCTTCATGAAAGAAGCACATAACTGATGATTTTTGTATAAAGGATGTCAAATACTTTTGAAAATCCAAAAACATTTCTCTAAAAACGCTTTCAGTTATTTTAAAAGTAATGTCAAATAAAAATTACCATATAAAACTTGCTTCAACAAAACCGGCTCTTCGTTCACAAAAGCAGGACGGAAAAAAATTTCATATTGGAGAGCCCAACAGATGCTAGCATATCTGCCCACAATTTTCTGAACCCTCTTGAAATACTTCTCCAATTTAATTAATTTCTCAATCCACTGTACGAAAACTAACTTATGTACCCTTTTGTAACAGAAAGGTAGCACTACTTGTTCATCACAATTTATAACTAACAAACCTTTTCATATACTAAACATTGATGTAGTTCACTTGTTGAAAATCAAAATACGCGTAATGAACAGACTAACAAATTGAAGAACGAATCGACTACATACGGATGTAAGTGAATAGAAAAGAAACACTACAAAAATTTAACGAGACGACTACATAACCGAAAGAGACTATACTCTAACTAACCACTTCTCAAACTATATTACAAATAATATTTACAAAGGCCTAAACCTAAAAAAAGCCCTAATGTGCAAAATACCAAATATACCCTAATATAAAATCAAATCAAATCTCTAATTAAATTCCCACATAAACTAACTAATAAATTCTTACTCTTGCGCATTGTGAAGAACCGGGGCGACGCTTTGGAGCACCGAAGGCCTATGATTGTTGAGGATATAATAAGGGACGATTTCCCGGGTTATTTTTTTTCTTATTCAAGGAGCATGGATGGTGAAAAGATGTTCAAAGAGGATTAAATTGATTATAACAAAGCAACAGCTTCAAGAATTGGTATCCAAGAAGATACTAGTGGAGGAAATGCTCCTGAGAATTCAGAGCGAGGCAGGGAATGGTGTCAATTCAGCAACAAGATGGACGACGGTACTTGAAACAATCCTTGCATGGAGTGAGAATGGAAGAAATCTAATGTTTTACTTTTGGTGCTCTTGAATAAATAGAAAGGAAAATTGATGCTTCAAACTTAGTTGCAATAACTTTTAACTACATGTTATGTGAGACCCGAAATTTTAAAGTGCTTAGAAAGTGTTGTTATGAACTTTGGAGTGTTTTCGAATTTTACAATTTATAGTTTATTTTAAATCGGTGATAATTTTACTTGAGTTCAAAGATTATTTTGAGGTAAAAAGATGAAAGTGGACGTTATTACGAGTTTGTAACATCCTTCAAATTACTTTTCGGAACTTGAATGAAATTTTAAGATAATTTCATGTTGGACCAATGTGTCAATGACACATGGCAGCCACAAGTGATGGAATTAACCACATGTGAACTGATGATTGGACCCAAAGAAATGGGTGATTAGTAAGCACTCTATTGTGCTGATTTTGCAAGGCTATGGGCTTGGACTTGTCATGCATATTAGCTATGCATTTGACACCTAGTACATACAATGCCTTAGTCATCTTCGGCCGTAAAATCATCCAGTTGGAAACAAGTTTGACACCGCCTATTTCTACTAAAAATAGAGAGCCTGCATTTCATTCCTTTTTGGTTAGATATTAGGAAACATATGTCGGCAGGAAGCCATGCATTTATTGCATGCGTATGATCTGTGTACGTGTATATGTATATGTGTGTGTGTGTGTATGGGGAGAGAGAGAGATATAGAGTTTAGAAAGAAAAGAGAGTGGAAGAATATGATGATTTAGCTTTGGAATTGAGGGCTTTGAAGCCTAAATCATCATATTTCTTCCAGAGTGATCAAGGAACTTACTCAAGTACGTGGAGCTTAGCTATCAAGGAACTTATAGTGACGTTGGATCTTCGTTTTAGCTTTGGAATTGAGGGCTTTGAAGCCTATTTGATGTCTGGACAACGATTTCTGAGACATTAAGGTAAAGATTTACATATGATCAGATTTCTGGGATTTTTTACTAGTTTCATATGGATGAGATTTAGAGAAAATTGATGTTTGACTCGAAATTCATCAAATTTGGTCCTTAAAGGACGTTTGTATGGAAGAAGAGAGTTGTACTATTGATGGATTGTGTTTTGGCTTGAAAGATATGTTGAATTTTTGGGAAAACAGACCTCAAAGTCACTAGTTTCATACTAGGGACTGAACTGTGAAAATAGTTTCTATTTTGGGGTAATTTTGTGAATTACCAAAACTTTAGGGGTCAAAGTGAAATTATCAAAAATTTGGGGACCTATTTGAAATAATAAAAAGTTCAAATACAAAATTTTATTCTGGTGAAGTGAAGGTCCCTTTTAGATATAGTTGTTGTTATGAGAATAAAGTTTAGTCATTATATATGGACATATAGTGACATTTTCTAATTGTTGAACTAGGGAGACTAGGTAGGAGAATTCTCACTTACCCTAGTTATGAGGAATATTGCTTGGCTTGGAGACTAGGTAGGAGAATCCTCACTTACCCTAGTTATGGAATTTTGTGCATGTATGTATATGAAAATATACGAATACTTGTGAAAGTTGCATATATTTTGCTGTGATAGAAACATGAGGAAAAATGATTTTGTTTTATATCATGATATGCATGATTGTTTTATGCTACAAATTAAAGTGATGACTTGAGAGTGAAAAGGGCATAGCGACCGCCTTGGGTTTCGATCCCCTAAACCTCTAGAGGGGCTACTACGAAGGGATTAGTACCGCTACCTTTCTAGGAGAGGTACTAGGATATCTAAAGGTAGAACATTAAAGAACACTCTCGTTACACCTTACCATAAGTATATTCGTTTAGAGTTGGTCCAGGTAAGGGGGTAGTTGGTCATTAGACCAATCATCATGTATGTAGCGATTTATAGGGATTCTTGTTTTCTTTTTAAAAGGAAATTGTGTGAGCATACAATCTATTTTAAAAACTAAACAAAGCTTTTGTTGTGCATCAAACATTTTCCTATAGTATATATAGTGTCGTATATTATTTTCAAACCTAGATGGGGTGGATTCCCTGAGGGGGAACGATGAACATTTGTGATGCTCACCCCTACTTTATTATAGGACCGGTGCACCTATAAATAGACGATTTGAACTAAAGTTGGGACAAGCGTTGTTTGTCACTTGTCAACTTCTTAGTCGCTCATTGACTTTCCACATGTTTTTGGTTCGTACATATGCTTGATTCCCCTACCGTCTCGAAGGAATCTTTTGTAGCCAAACTTAGCACTTTGTACTTTCTAAATCATACTAAAGAGTTGGTTTAGTATGATAATTACCTTAAACTCTTTGGTTTTGTTATAGATTGTGAAGTTCTTTTCGTATGTAAAAATTTTATCCAAATTTAGTTTCCATTTTATTCTTCGTTTTACCAAAATGATTTTCGTTTCCGTACTGTTTAAAAATAAATTATTTTATTCCCCTCAAATAGCCTTACGTTCTATTAGGAATGTAGTGCTATAGTGTTGGATTTTAACATTGTAGTATTGCGTTACTAATAGAGCGTGACATTGTTACGTGCCCCTTTTTGGGGCGTGACATGTTATGCTAAAGAGAAAATTTTTAGTGTAATCGGTTGTAAATAATTATATGTTTATTTTTTTATTACATTTATCACGTTACTTGTTCCGTGAAATAAAAAAATAAAAGATAATTATGTATAACTGACCATGGTGCATCGTGAGTGCATAAGATTCCATGAAACATCAACTGAGTGGTGAAAAATTGGAAATTGTTTAATCATCTCGCCTAATGATTGCATAATATAATCATGCCATGCCAATGTTTCCATGGAAAACCAAATCCAAATGCGACCACTCTCTTTTTTCTTTTTTTTTTTGTTTTTGGACAAAAATGCCGCCAATCTGTCTGCCTGAATTTCCGTAGTTTCCCACTTCTCTTTCTTTCTGTCTTCTTGAGGCGGTAAGAGACAAAAAGAATGGTTGTGACCCTTATTTTAAAGGCATATTCACATAGGGTGGGACTGGTCAAATTGCCACTTTCACTTTAAACAACGAGTGAATGATGAGAATCCTAGCTAGGGTTTTGCTCTTTACCAATATTTTTTTTCTGTAAATATGACAATGGGGTCTTTAGTTTTTCTTTACTATTTTTGAAAAGAGAAAGTGAAAAAGATGGTTAATGGATTTATTGACTGAAAATCAATTTGTTTTCTTCCTGCACATTATGCTCATTTTTATTACTGGTTCTTCTCTAACTAATACAATTTAAAACCAGTAATAAACAAGAATTACAAAACAGAAGTGACCAGAATAATCACTTTTCAATCATGAATGCTCCGTTTATATTATATGGACCCAAACTACCAACTATTTCCATTTTCCAACCATTTCTTGCATCACCGTACCATATAAAACACATGTTATATACACTGTGACCACAGTAGAGGCCTTCTTTTGTCACACTACTTTTCCTTTTTGTATATCCTTTAGTTTTCTTGTTTTTAATATTCTCTGTTTGGTTGAGAAAAGCTCCCAAGAAGAATCCCACCGACGAATAGATCTCTCCCTCCATAACTTTCCCTCTCTTTTATACCCTCCAAACATCCCGTCACTAGGCATAAGCTGCCTATAAGTTATAACTACAACAAGAGCACAAAGGTTTTAGTTAGGGATTTTTAATAAATGGGCAATTGCTTGTTTGGAGGTTTGGGAGATGCAGATGGGGTAGTTCAAGTGACAACATCAAATGGTGGGATAATGGAATTTTATGTGCCAATCACTGTAGGCTTGATCACGAAGGAATTTCCAGGCCATGGAATTTTCAGAAGCCATGATCTTTTCTGGAAACCACTCTCTCACCATGATGATCTTCTGGCAGGACAAAATTACTATCTTCTCCCTCTCAACAGCCAAAGTGGTCGTCACTTGGGCAGCGCCCAGATTGTGAGGGAAGGCCATGTTCGGTCAAACAGCATACCAACTTGTTCACTTGCTGCGCCCTACAGAATGTCGCTTGATTACCATGGAATGATGAAGAGGTCTTACACCGAGGCATTTTCGAAGTACAATAACGTCAGTTTTTGGAAGGTGAAGCTGGTGATCAGTCCAGAGCACCTGTTGGAGATTTTGGCTCAAGAGGGTCGGACTCAGGAATTGATTGAGAGTGTAAGGACTGTGGCTAAATGTGGGAGTGGTGGTTCGGTTTCAGGTTTGGGATTTTCCGATCAGTGGAGCCTGTCGAGTAGTAGTAGAAATGCTTCATCTAAGAAAGATGGAATATTACTAGATATTTAGCTGGAATCGTAGCAACAATATTGTTCTTTATAACTCCTGTTTGTGTTATATAGTCTTAAGTTCTTTTTTTTTTCTTGGCCAAACATATAGTCTTGTTTTTCTTTTCTTTCTCTTGTATCATGATTTCAAATTGTTAATGAAGATGTCTAGACTTTGAGTTTCTAGCATATAATACGACTCTTTTAATCGCTGGTTTTGGTTTTTGTTGGTACTGTTGATCGAAATCAATTAAATTATGTTCCACCCCAGAATTGAACATATATAGGTGTAGATCGTGGGAATGAGGGTGTGCCACCACTAGAGGCCGCTAGTAGACGGGTTTCAAGTATTGAAATATCAAACCTATTTGACTTCTAACCAAAAGATTGTGTCGTTGAGTGCGGAGGCTCAACTTTGAACTTTTTTGCATTGAATGCTAAGGAGTTCACATTTTCTTGTATGTAGGAAACTAACTTAGAGTATGAAGCTCATTCGAAGAGAGAAATTGTATTGAAATACTTAGTAGAGGAAATTATTAGTGGAAAGCTACATAACAAATTAACAAGAGAAAGCAAATGTAATCTATTGCTTTGCCAAAGAAGGCTTGCTTTGATTTTGAGAGAGTGGAGAAAGTATGGTACTTCTCCACCGATAATATTTGATTTGAGAGAGATTTAGACAAGGAATGGACTTCTTCTCTTTGAAATGCTTTGTGGAAAGCTTGCTTTCTTTGAGAGGTTTGCTCTTTGAGAGAGATTGAATAATCTTTGCTTTTTGATTGAAGTTGTTGGGGCCATCTCTTTTGCCCATGCTTTTCTTTATATAGTGCTCCACCAAGCCCTAGGTCTTCTCTTCACTTTGTCGCTATAATGCAACGCTCTCACATCCACATGATTTTTCACCACCCAATGATCATTATGCTTATAGTTATTTTCAAGGCTTTAGGACTACAAACCAATATGAACCAGCCCCTAACTTGATAAAGTGGGCCTCGTAGAATTCATGTGAATTGTCAAATTATGGTCCAAGTACACCATGTCAATCATATAATATAGATATATAGTGGATTAGTTCTCTTTGAATTCATAACAACAACAACAACAACAACAAAACCTTGTCCCTCCAAGTGAGATCGGCTGTATAAATCCTAGAACGCCAGTTTTGTGCCACATCTTCCATTAGATCCAAGTACTCCAAGTTTTTTCTTACAGTCTCTTTCCAAGTCTTCCTAGGTCTTCCTCTACCTCTTCGGCCCTTAACTTCTGTCTCGTAATCACATCTTCTAACCGGAGCGTCTGGAGGCCTTCGTTTCACATGTCCAAACCACCTTAACATATTTTCTCTCATCTTTCCTTCAATCTTGGCTACTCCTACTTTGTTTCGGATATCCTCATTCCTAATCCTATCCTTTCTAGTATGCCCACACATCCAACGAAGCATTCTTATCTCCGCTACCCTCATTTTATGTACGTGTTGATGCTTCACTGCCAAACATTCCATGGCATAAAGCATTGTTGGCCTTATTACCGTCCTATAAAAATTTTCCTTGAACTTTAGCAGCATACGACAGTCGCACAACATTGCCGTCCCCTTTGTATTCATGATGATGTTAATTAAATTGTTAATGAAGATGTCAGACTTTGTAGTAGATATCGGAAATGTTGGATGAAAGAGGACATTTGGGACGAGCTGGGCTTAATTTCCTCTTTGTAAGCTTTGTGACAAGGCATGTATGACTTCTGATGAGTAGATTTTATATTATATATTTAACCCTATTCTTAGTATATTTTGGTTAATATTTTGGAAGAATTTTGATACTTTGAATTGTATTTTCAATAAAGGACTTTTGACTTCCTCTAGAGAAAAACGTGACCAAATGGATGAATTTTGGAGTAATTCTAGTTGGAGGATGTTCATGAGTCAATTAGCTTGATCGTATCAAAATTTGGAATTTTTCTTCGTAGCGGTGATTTTCTGGCTATAAAATAAAGGAGCGATGCGCGGTACTGGAATAGTGATGCTTTGGGCTTGAATTGCATTTTTGGAGCCCAAGATGACCTCAGATAGATTCGTGGCCTTCTGGAGATGTGTTCAGAACATCCTGATTTTTAGAACACGCTATCATTGGCCAGATTTGGAGGATATTTGAGGTTAAAACGTGGCTGGACACTTCCTTTGCAGATTCTCCTAGTTTAATTAGGATTTTATTTTCTATGATATTTTATTATTATTTTTAATTTCCTAGTTGGAATAAAGGACCTGGTTTTTAGGGATTGTCTAATACCCTTTAGATGGGATTTAAAAGGTTCCAGCCGGTCCTAGGTTACCCACATTTTCTTTTATGCAATCTTGGAGTTGAAGAGAATTGCTATGGTTCTTGAGGATTTTCTACCTTAAGGTGTTTTCAATCATTTTCTTCATAATAATATTTTCTATGATTTAATTATGATTATAAGTAACTAATTCGTTTTGTTAGGGTGAAGCCTTAAGCCTTAGCATGAATATGTAATTTTTATTTAATTGCTTATGATTGATTGCTCGCACGCTTTGAATTATTGATCAATGTTTTAAACTATCTAATTGTCTTGATGATTGGCCACCATTAGGATCTTTAGAAAAGTAATTTGATGCAATTTTGGTCAGAAGGTTCCCTGAAATTGACGTTGGCTTCTTATGATTAATAATTGTAATTTCACTTAAGATGAACGCCACGTCTTAGGGGTTGCATAGTTTTTCAAAAGGTTTTCATAAAGCATAACGAGTCTCTCATGTTCATATTTGATCCGAACGTCCAGACGGATTGCATGTTAGATATACGTTCTATGTTGGAGGTTCCAAGTAGAATATATATTAGGAAAACCTAACCTTCAAAGTGACATGTGTAGATCATAAGTAATTGGTAAAATTTCATAGGATTGCATAAATTGGTATTTAAAACTCTTTTCTTTTATCGTATTAGTTTGGGAGAATTTACTATTTGTTTTTTTTTAATTAAAATTCGTTTTTTAATATTACCCAAATTCAAAATCACATTTCTCCAGTTTTAGTTTTAAGTAGTTAATTAGGAATTGTTTCTACATAAATTATTAAAATAGTCATTGAGGAGAACGACCTTGCATGTGTATCTATACTACAATAACCTTGTATTCTTGCAAATATTTTGTGTGATTTTAACCCTATTTTTGTAGACGGTAAAAATCATATCAACTTCTTTTTGGTCCACCTTACATTTCAATTTAGAAGCTCCAACTTGAGTTGATTATGGGGACGGATTAGGGTGGTTATTAGGCTTTCTTCTCTGTCACCCAAAAAACAATAGCGAGGTTTAATGAGTTAATTATATATGGACTTACTCAAGTGGGCTTTTGTATTTGTATGAAAGTTCGAATTCTTCTCCCTATATTGGTAACCACGGTTAACCGTCCATTTAAAATTCACGGTTACGGTTACGGGTAACCGTTTAGACAAATAAGTTGTTATGTCCATGAAATTTAAATGGGTTATGGGTATTACCCGCTGTTATAAACGGATACCCATTTAATCGTTTATTTTAATATATATATATATGCCTCATTTAAGAGAAAAATATAGGTGATTGAACGGGCCTATGTTTAATATATGTGATTCAACATGCTAAAGCATTAGAGTGTTTGAAAGTTTAGTTTAAGAATATTTTTGAGTTTTGAATCACCTAGTATTCAAAATAATGATTACCTTGAGTTGTTAGAAGCTTTACTTTATATGGAGTTTGGTTTATTTTACTCTTAGTCTAGATGTTATAATTGAGGACTTGCTTGGGTGTAGTAGAAAAATATGTTGAAAATGCATGAATTTTCTTTCCAATATGCTTGCTTAAGTAATGAGAGGCATTTTGTTAGAAAACAAATCAATTCTTAGCAAATACATTAAATTACCTTTATTGATAATAGTTAAAAATATCGTCTGCAAAATATTATTTCAATTATCAGAATGGTATGAGGACTTAAAAGATTGAAATACAATATGCATGTTAATTGAACCTATAATGACACACCCCGACCGAGGTCGAGACATATTGGTCGTCACTTGAGGGTGACGTAGCCAAGTGCGCAACATAAGTGTATACGATAATAAGAAAATGCGAATAAATAAAAACCAACTAAGACTTAGCTATACTAAAGATAATACTAAATGTGTGGAAGTAACTAAGTCAAGCTACAAACATTTTAGAGCATAGGTATCACAAGTGCAGTCAAACTAAACAAGTACTAATTATACAAACAGGGAGAAGATTCCTACTTATTTATGGATATGTCAGAACCACCGGGAAGTCCTCGTGAGCCACCAAAGATGATCAGGTACCTAGAACCTGGAGGGGTGCAAAACAGAAGGGTGAATGGGCAAAAACAAAGCGTTTGAAAACACATTTACCTTTTATGAACACAGTAACCCCTCACTATAAAACCTGTATAGTTTCCAAAAAATAGTACTATATATATATATATATATATATATATATATATATATATATATATATATATATATATATATATATATATAACAATGCACAAGTGCAATGAAACCCAAAATATGCCATGTCATAACCTATAAATCATGTAAGCCAGGTGTAGAATCAATGTAAAATAACATGCCAGTCAAAGTCACCTAATGTGAGCTGTACGACTGGACTATAGCTCATCAACCTAGGCTAGCACACGAGTCGAAGTCACCTGATATGACCTGTACGACAGGCTAGGTATAAATATGTACGCTCAAGTGCTACGATCACGTGAAGGTTGTGTGATAAATTACGGGTCACCTACGAGTTAGAACCACCTATTGTGGTCTGCACGACAGGCTAGCACCAGACTTGGATCCAAGGTAAGCATGCGGTGCGAAAGGTGAATGATCACGTGAAGGCTGTGCCCTAATCCCAGGGCAGGAACACTAATACCGGGTGCAGCCTTGATGAGCTCTAAATAAATATATGCATACCAATGCAACACAACCCATTCAATCACATCATACTCACATGAAGCTTACCTGAGTCTCCACAGCATCACACAATATAATTCACAAGTATAACAGTGCAATACTCAAAGTGCAACTCATTATGACATGGCATTCAAAGCATAAATCATTTAAGAAAACGTTCTGGAAACCATATCATATATATATATATATATAGAAAGAAAATTCCATTAGGGAATATTCCGTTAGATAGCATA